TCTGGGAATTGTGGACTTGCAGTCAAATTCAAATTGTCCATGTTATGTAAATGCATCTTAAAAAGGTTAAACTAGTTACAAGCAGGGTAATTACTCAGAGTAGCGGTGAAATTTAGCCATGCAGATCTGTTACCATTACGTAAACTAGGGGAATACATCCTTCTGGCTGAGAGAACTTGATCATTAATTACACTGATTAATATTAATCAACACATTTATTTATTTATTTATTTTTGGAGGGAACTTTAGATACAGAAGGTTACTCTTCCTCAGAGTATCAAGGTTCTGTGTGAACTGTAATCTTAGTTATGTGATCAAAGATTATTATAAAAGACACATGCACACACCTTTCTTTTTTGAATATATGCCCTAGAGTAACCTGTTAGTTTGAAACATGACTGAACTTAACTAGGAAGTATGAAATGAAAGTGAAGTTATTTATTTATTTACTTACCTACCTCTTTATCTATTTATTTATTTATTTTAATGGCCACCCCTTTTTCCCCAAGACATTTTTAAAGCAGGAAAAAAGTTGCCATGGTAGTGTTGCTTAGAGATGGTGTAGGAAAATGGTAGAATCTGAACAGTTCATTGCCTTTTTTTTTGTTTTTTGTTTTACCACTCTGGATCTTCATTGCTGGCTTTGAGGGGAATGTGAAAGGGGTTGCATCACTTGCTTCTTAAAAAATGTCATTTTTTTTTTTTTACTGGTTCTTTAAAAAAAAAAAAAAAAAGCTGTTTGGTTTTTTTTTCCCTCTAAATGTACATATGCAAGAAACTAGTAGTGATCAGGGGTATAGAAATCTGAATGTTTGGCTGTGACTCCAGGTACTAATACATTGCACACAAAGGTAAAAACAGCATTTTTCCTGCTTTTCCAGCTGTCTAAATTGCTAGATATTTGTTGTTTAAAATGGCTAAGTAGGTATCTGTTGAATCAAGTTTCACTTAGGGAAGGATCATTGCAGGTACTGTATGTGGACAATAGAGCAAGGCTTTCTTTGTATGTTGGGTAGTTGAGTGGGGGAAGGGACAAGTTACACAATAATTGTATTGCAGTCCTGTTTGATTGTTGCAGGAGCTTAGCTGTGTTGGGCATATACATATGAAAGGCAACTGCCTGAGCCTGGATATGTAATGTATAAGGTTGGTTTCTTGGAAAGAACAATTCCTTAGTTTGGAGCAAAACTCTTTTCAGATTTAGCTGATCTTGGCTACATCAAGTTCCCACCCATCCCCCAATCTGAGAATTGGGTAAAGGATATGCAAAGAGGGTGACCCAGCAGCATTATACAAGTAGAAAAGCGGATTTTTCAAAATCTAGCGTTAAAGCATGAATGCCTGCTACCTTTTTGGTTGTATCAGTTGGTAACCTAAATCTACATGGTATTTTTTTGGTTGAGACCTGAAATATGTTGCAGCTTCCATATTAGTGTACATGCAGTTAAAATATTTGCTATGATGCCATCTCATGTGCTAAATTAAAACTTTAAACTTTGAATTGTGGGAAAAGAGGCAGTCTGTTAGGCCTTAAAGGCGCAATAAGTGTACTCCGAGTGGGAGATGTTTTCATTTTTATTAACTTGTTACTGTGGGAAATTTCTCACTTTGGTGTAGTCTCTTCCTTCCCGTTGTAGGAAGGGATGTTTACCCAGATGAAAGACAAAAGTGCTTTGTAGTAATTGTTTCTTATGGCACGTCTGTGTGACTCGATTAAGATGCAGTTTTGTTTTCTGTAAATTGAAGTGAGATTACTTGGTAAAAATACTGTTGGCTTTTTTTTTTAATTGGAGGAGAATATCGGAGTTGGTATCAAGTGCGCCTGACTTGCGTGCACAGGATGTATTGTGTCCTCAGACTTCCCAGCTTTGAAAGCCTCTTTTTCTGTACATGTTTTTGTGCCTCTTTCAAGAGGTAGGTGAATGATTAATTATGCCCAGATTTTAAAAGTGGGCGTCCTTGTGTGTGTTTAGACGGTATAATATCTGCTTGTCATGTAGATTAAGGATTTAAAAACATAAACTATTGATGTAAAAAACCCTTTTTTAAAAAAAAGGGCTTTCTGTTGCATCTCAGACTTATTTTAAAAACTGCATTAGATCTTGAAACATTTTATTCCAACTAGGACAATGAATTGGAAACTCATTCTTAAAATAGTATTACTTTATATATCATGTTATGATCTTTGATGTTAGAACTTAATGTTCATTAAAACAGTATTTAGTTGCAATTGAAGGTGTTTCCTGATTGCAATAATTTGGGTTCATTTTAATTATTGATTCGGGGGGGAACATTCACCATTATTGAAACAGACGCTTAGCAGCTTGGAGAAAGAACAAGGAGACTAAATATAGCAACATTTATCCCAAGAACAAGTGCTAGCTTTCCATCCCTTCCCAACCCCCATTCATTTACCCAGATCCTCCTTGGGCTTTTAACAATTGTCACTTTAGATTTAAAAAAAAAAATAAATCCAGACTTTTTTGTTTATAAGAAATCATGTGATTTCTTATGAAGAAAAAAAAGGCTGGATTTATCACATGATTTCTTATGGTATCTTTGGGGGGAGGGGGTATTACTCTTCTGTAGTGGTAAGAGGTTCTTACAGCAAAGACTGAGTTTTAAGAATAAAGACGGCCTAATTTTTAAAAACTAAAATTGAAAATGCCAAATAAGATAACCCCTCTGCATGTTTGGCTTTGCGTTCCTCCGATTTATTTTTAGAACGAAGCACAGTAGAAGCCATTATGGTAACATCTCATACCTTTTAAAATATGGCTACCTTCTTATGAGTCAGCTTGTAAAAGTGGCATTGTGGAGGTGCCATACTTTTTTCAGTTACTTCTACATTGTGTTTGCTCAGTTTACAACAGAACGTTTTGTCTAATGGCCAGCAGTGGAAATTCACTCTGGGAGCCTAAAATTAAGCTGTGTGCTTTCTGGTTCATGCACTGTAGCCAATAACAAAGCTGGTTATGCAGTCAGAGGCTGGTGGGTATTTGAGTGGATGGTGCGTGGGGTAGAGGAGAAGTCAGCTCTCCAGTCACAGTACGGGGTCTAGTCTGCTAGGAGAAGTGTGAATTTTGCTTTGGTAGAAAGCAAGCAGATCTGGTCCCCATGCACACTGGCTCAGAGTGGTTAAATACGAAAATAACATTTTCTGCAGTTGCATTTAGTGAGCCCTTAATGATACCTTGATTTAATACATTTTTCTAGTAGAAGTCTTAGGAAAAGCATGTTCCCAGGTCTGCAAAAGTAACTTTGTTGCTTATAATTAGGAGTCGTTTGGGGTTTATAAATTCAAATGCAACTTGGGAATCCTCCCACTGAATGAACTCTGCATTCAGAATAAAACGAAACATTCTTATCCAGAATTAATACCCGAGGAGTGCACAAAAATAAGGCTATATAGTGAATTCCAATGATGTTCATATTTGAATAATATATATATTTTTTTAAGTGATGAGGCATGGTCATACATTTGTTTCTGCTTTTCTAAGCAGGGACTTTCTTGGTATGGAGGGAATAAGACCAAGTGTGCAACAACCATGCATCCTTTCATTAGTGCCTGAAATCCTGGGGCAATATCAAGGCCTAGTTATGCTGAGCCCTGTATGTTCACGTAGCGAGACAATCCTGGCTCCAGAGAACCCATATTGTGAATATAGAAAACAGGCCCAGATTGGAGAAAGGAAGTATGATCCCTATTTTTCAGGTGGTGAGCTGGTGCAGCCAGATGATGAAATGAATATCCTAGTGAGTCACAGGAGTCTGGTAGGCAGGAGCTGAATCCAACTTTTTCCCAGAGTTTCAATCCAGGGCCTTAAGAAGTAGTAGCCCTTGTGTGAGTAGGTGTCTCATTCCCCCTCCCTCATCAACAGGAACTTCATATGAATGTAATACTGTGAAACATATTGGCTCCAGTGCCGTTTCACACATGACCTTTCACTTTCTAAACTGTTCTTCATTGTGCATCTATTCACAGATTTCTAAACTTCTCCTCCGACTGTTGCGAATGCTATAGAGCAGTTTTGTCTGGAACCACCCGCTTCTTCCCCAAGACGGGCTCATTTTGAGGAATGCTTCCCAACTACTTGGGGTCCATGAATCCTCAGGCTGCTCTAGAGCTTAGTATCCAGTTGAGGTTTCAACATGTGGACTCCAAACTCTTTGGCCACAGAAGTGTCTATGAATTATTATTTCAAAGAAAGTAATGAAAAGCTGCAAAGAACACCAAATCTGGACTAAACTCCCATAAAGCATTTTTATATCCTTGGCTGTGTTGTAAGAGAATTTTTGTAGAGCAACCACGGTTACTATTATAATCCAGTGAGCTGCCTAAGTCATGCTTTTTCACAGGCCCTCTTTACACACATTATGACTTCATGATTTGTTATCACTTCAAAGATGGTTTCTAACTCTTATTTTAGTATTTTTGCTGTGCTTTAAGTTTCCTGGAAACAGGGTTACAAGACATGTTGTGTTATTACTGATGTGTGTTTCTTGGTCATTTAAAAAGATGAGGACTGAAGGCGCATGTGTTAGGAGTTCTGTCCTGTTTTGTCAAAAACATATCACTAACTGCTGATATACTTGGTTGGGTTGTAGGAATCTTATTGCATTTGGATCCTTTTGTGGTTTTTGTCATGACTTGTTTATGGAGATACTTTAACGCAAATTAAAATTTCTTGAGCAATGTATAGATATTAAGACAGTTTTTCAAGTTAAGATAGTGAAATATTGTTGTGTTTTTCCCACTGGGTGTAAATTGGTGTAAAGTTATTTGGCATATAACCTTGCTGTCTGAAGACGTGGCCAGGCTAGGCCCTTAGTTTTTTTTTTTTTGAAAGATAATGTAGGTTCTTGTGTTAGTTCACACAAGGTAAACCGCTGGTTAGGACAAGGCAATTTGCATTACAATTGCAAGTTTGCAGGTCAAGGTAAATCGTAGGCTCCCCCTAGTGTTTAGTTCTGCCTGATTTCATGTGTGGAAACCATGAACGGCATAGTCTTCACTAGGATTTGATGTTGCATTAGCTAGATTTGTGGTAATAAATAGGAAGGAACATGTGTTGAAACAATGCAGTTTGACATGAGCACCTAGGGGGAGCAGTAATATTCACATGGACTTAAAAACTGAAGCCAAGGGTTGTGGTGGGGAGGGGAGGTAGATCAGACTAGTTAAAATAATTACGTGCAAGTAAAAGACACTTATTTCCCTCAGTGATAAAAGCTGGAGTAATCTCTAGTTATACATACATTGGGAGGGTTGGTATGTGTTCAGTAGCTTTCTGCAGTACTGGGAAATCTTAACAGCAAAAGCAGAAACATAAACCCCAAGAAATATTGAATTATTAGCACTACATTACAAGTAATCCTTCTGGTTAAGCTGTATCAGCATAATGGGGGGAAAAGGCCAGATACGTAATCATGCACCTGTACGCTTTTTAATTTGAAATTCCAGCTTGTAACTTTGTGCTCGAGGACCAGAGCATGTAGCAGTTACTCTAGTGACTTTGGGCTGTACGGAAGTGTTTATCATCCACTTTGAAGAGGGCTATCTGTATCTGAGTCATCTCAAGTGTTGCAGTACACTCCCAAAGACTGATGTGTCAGAGAAGCTGCATCCATCAGGGACTTGGATAATTATGCAACCACGTAACTCTTGGCACCATCACTTTTTTCCAAAACAATTTAGGACTCGTTTTTAATTAATCCACTTCTAAAGTCAAAATAATCCATTTTTTTCCAAACAGTCTGGTGAATCCTCAGTGTGCTCATTACTGGGGAGAGATTACTTGTGAGATTTTTTTTTTTTTTCAGTGTTCTCAGACCAGAACTGAAGAAACAGTATAGGAAAATATTTTTTTAAATGAAAAAGGGTAAAATAGAAAATGGATTAATTGCTGTAATATGATTTGAGTTTAGCTGCCTTTTCAGAAGGCCAATAAATAATTCTAGGGAAGTGTGCCATCTTGAAGATGGGAAAGCAGACATTGTGCAACCACTCGGTGGCTTACTTACACAAAATAGTTATAGATTGTGGGTCCTTGGGATTTAGGCAAAAGTCCTTGTTTGTAAACTGGGTTAACAAAAAGCTTGCTAACTTTTACCTTTAACACCCCTGCAGTTTTACATCATGCTACGAAATGGCGGAGCTGTATACATTCCACCTTCCTGTTCTCTTGAAATGTTCTCAGTCTTCTCTCTGTGGACGATCCTTATTAATGTTGATTTTGGCGAGCCTCAGTCAAACTTCACTGATGCGGCTTTGCACTGATATTTTAAGGTGTAATTACTACTTTTTATATAAATAGTGTAATAATCGTTTTGAAACCTGTGACACTTACTGTGCAACTACAACCTGTGGTATGGAAAATCTTGTCACGTGGAATTCTCATCTCAATAAAGGAATAAAGTATTAAAGAGATATTCGTGGGACTAAGCAAGACCTAGTGGTGGTTCACAGTGGATGGCATAACATTAAAGAATAAACTTACAGCATACCCAAAGTGCAAGACAAGTGAAAATTAATCTGTTAACAGAATAAAATTACAAGGGTGAAGGCAGTATCTGAAATGAAGTGAAATATACATTCCCAAAACTCCTGGAAAAACTTGGGTGCCTATAACTTTCTCATACTCCTGCGTTGTCTTGGGGCTGGGTTTTCCAGATTGGTGCAGAACTGGGGGAATCCTGCAACCTACAGTCCATTTGAATTGGATTTTTTTTTTGCATTTGCAAAGAGTTGCATGTACCTCACTCTTCCATAAACTAGGAGAAAACCAGCTATTTTAGTAGCTTCTGTGGAAAGATCTAGGCTTCTTTCAAGAGCAGAAGAGACATGCTTTCATTCACTTGATTTGCCTTCATTTTGCTACTGCTTAAACTAATTATATTTTTGTACATGTTATAACCTAGGTTTTTTTCTTTCTTTTTTGTGAAATGGGCTAAATATATCTTACTCAAACACCAGTCTGATCAAAGAGTTGGAACTGCCCAACCCATTTCAAAACAGGTTGATTAATTGCTTATGGAGCTATTTGGCAGTAATAATACTTGATCCCCAGTATCATCCTGTAAAATCATCCATAAAACCGTCCCCGTGAACTTGTCCCTGTAGACTGAGACTACTAAACTCTGTTTTAGAGGCTTCTTTACCTCAGTTTTGCAGAGGATGGTGGTATGCCGCACAATTAAGAACCTGACTTGGATTCCTACCAGGTTTTCATTACTTGGATGATAGATGTCAAATCGGATACACTTTCAGAAGTGGAATCTCTTTCAACTACTTTAAAATGTACCAATGATTTTAAAATTGGTGTTCTGTATATCAGATATTGGCTCTGGAGAAGTCCATTCCATCAGATAGTTTCTTATCGCACACAAGCTGATGGTAATAATGCCTTAGTTAAATCAGATTTTAATTAGTTTTTTATTTATCTGTTCTTTTGCAAATGTAAATATCTGCTGTACACAGTGTCTAATAATGTTGTTGGCAGAAAATTGTGTGTGTAATAAAGCCTGGAATTGCACTAAATTTTAGGTGCTCGCATTGCACTGAGCAGGGGGATGGACTGGATACCATTTTGATCTTTCAGCCCCATGTTTGTCCCAAATCAGTCTCTGTCTGAAAAGATGACTCTGTGCCCACGTGAACTTTTTTTTTTATGAGAAGAATACAGACAAACACATTTTCATAAGCACCTAGTTTTTATTTGAGTGACTTTCCACAACTCGCTAAAGCTGCAGTGTTGATCAGACTGTATTGCCCCAGCAATGTGCATGGCTGTAAGTCATTGGAACTTGCCCACCAAAGGGCTTTTAAAAATCCTATCTAAATAGACATAGAAAAGCTAATTGGCCCTTTGGAGTGACAGACGGGTTATTTTCAATAATATCCTGCTAGTTGGTTAGCTGCAGCTCAACATCCTCTGCTTGGCCCATCTGTATTTGGATGACTGGCTGGTAGGAGCAGCATCAGAGCTGGCTAGCGACCCTAGCTTGAAAGTAGTACTTTGAAGGAGTACATGTTGGTTATGAACTGTTTCTGTGGACTGGGGAAACAGTCCGAGTTCAGATTAGTGAAACGGCTGCAGATGAACTTTCAGAACCGGTGACTGGAGTAAGTCTGCAAATCCTGGTGTTCGTGGCTGCTAGTACCACTGAAAATGCTCTGAAATGGTACAGAACATACTGTCACACTGTCCTGGTGCCCATGCAGTCGTTGACAGCCATTCCTATACTGATCTGTTTAAAGAAGCTGCTAATTTCAGCAAGGAAACAGTCGTATAGGGCAGTGATTAAAACTTGATTTGTCACATAAAGGTACTTCCCCCACTGTTATGATGGAAAGTAGCCTTTAATTAAAAAAAAAAAACCTCATACAAAGAAAAAATAAAAATGATTCTACCTAGCTGCTTTCATTTAGAAGGTTTTTCATGTACTAAATCAATTTATGCTTCCCCAAACTAATATGGCTACATTTGAAAAACTGAAATGAAGCCACTGCACAGCAGTGTGGTGACTCTTTCAAGTCACCATGGCAATGAAATGAGCTATACAAATGTTTAGGCTAGAAAGTAAAGGATAGCTATTTAATTAAAATTTCAGGCTAATTCAGGTTGATGCAATGTAATTGTGATGGTTACAGCAGAGCCAGCACACCTAATCATTTAAAAAAAAAAAGAGAAATCTACAGTTTTATGCTTACTCTGCTTAATCCATCTGTGCTTGTCTGTACAATGCAGTCAAAACTTTTGCAGTGCAGTTTGACTTTTGTGGAATCACAGTGTTTTGTTACAAATGTGAATTTGGCTGAAAAGACTGAAACAATGAAATTGTAGTTATATACGTAATGACCCAAAACACTCTGAAATTAGATATTTTTGTGAAGCGTTGAGGGCAAGTGAAAATCTGCCAGGACTCCTATTTGTTCAGATAAAATCATTTAAAATGCATGCATTAATCGACTTGCTTCAAGGCACCTTCACGGACATCCATGTTGCAGTGTTTTCAAGTATGTTTTGTGTTAACACTTCGTGAACCTTGTCCTGCATGTGAAGTCCTGCTGTCATGGAGATTTGTATACACACGAAGATGGGCACGCTATTTTCTGTGCGTGCAGAAAATGATATATTGGGGCATTTATCATTTGCTGAGTTCCTGTGATGTTACAGGTAGTGACCACGTGTACCTGTATATTCCACTGTACATAATACATGGATTCCTATGAGAAGTTGTTACTGTACGTCTGCACTAGCATCCCCACTTAAATCCATTGCATCAGAATTCATCTTCTGTTTCCTGTTTTGATGCAGTCCCAGCATGTGAACTAACTTATAATCTTTATGTAATTAAAAAAGGTTAGCGCATCTAATTGCAAAACACTGACCAGAAAGACCAAACCAGCTTTTCAGGGTAGCACTCCGTTCAGGGAATTGGAGATGCTTATCTTGCCATTCAGTTTTAGCCTTTCTTGACCTGGGTGTTTTGATCCTAGAGGTCATGTGGGTTGTTGCAGAAGACAATCCCTTTGATCCTAGAGGTCATGTGGGTTGTTGCAGAAGACAATCCCTATGGCTGATGACTTGTGTGTGTGTGTGTGTGTGTGTGTGTGTGTGTTGGGGGAGCTGTTGATGTAGGAAAAGCATATTTATAAAACAGTAAAATATATATTGATGCTCAAAGCGTGTGCGCGCAGGTTTCTTTATGTGGGTAAGGGACTTGGGTTCATGAACTGCAGCTGTTGTATTTGCCCAAAAGGCTACTCTTTTAATGCCTTTTAACTGAAAACCTGAGCACATTACAAAACTACAGAAGCAGTATTATTCCATTTACA